TTTTTTTTTTTTTTTCTCAATCAACTATTTATTTCACAAATATTTGTTCAGTCCCTTCTAGGCACTCTCTGTGCGTTTCTATGTAATGTTTCCAACCACCCCCAAAGACAAATAAAGGTCGGCTTTATACAGTCACAGATCGTTAGAGCAATAGGGTCACTGAGCATCAAAGATAAAAAGAGGTGCCTGACTTATGCCAGCACTGAATTGGGACAGAGTTGTTGGGATGGAACCCTTGTTGGGGTACCTGGTACCCCTCCCTCTTTGGGAGCTCTTGGCCTGGCAGCAGCAGGTGAGGGCACCTTACAGGGGACCAATGGTCAGACATCTTACAAAGAGTTTGTGCTCTTTGGAGACCCTGGTCCCATCTTAGTACTGAACCAGTGGCTTCCGGGTCGCTGCCAACTTGTGACGTGCTGAGTCCATGTGCTCTGGGAACTGTGTCCCATGGCACTGTTTTCCAAATTTGATTGTGGGTAGACTTGGTTAGCAGCGATGCATTCCCCATTGGCTCCATGTTGCAAGTAGACACTGCTGTTCTCAGGCCCTGTCCCATATCCCATGGGTCCCTGGGTGGGGAGAAAGGCTGGTGAGTTGTGGAGACGACTGCCTACCTAGGCCAGAGGTCTCCGTCTCCCTTAGCGAGAGCTCGGAGAACGCATCCTGGTGGCCTCTCTGCAAGCTAGTGGACATTGGCCGTGTGGTTCTCACTGCTGGAAACTTGGGGTCAACTCTGGCCCCTGGTAACCTCACATGCAGAGTAGAACCGTGCTCTGTAAGGGTCTCCAGGGGTGTGACCTTTTAGAAGCAGATCACCAGGCCTTTCTTCTGAGCCACCTCTGGGCGGGTTCAAACCACCAAACTTTTGGTTACCAGCCAAGTGCTTAACCAATGCACCACCAGGGCTGCTTAGCATGACCATAATGGCCAGCAAGTCCAGTCTCAGGTAGCAAAAGAACCGAAAACGGGTACTCAGGGGGGAAAGTGTATGCAAGGTTTTCCTAACAACATTATTCATTATGGTGCTGGCGAAGAATATTGACTGTGGACTGCCACAAGAACCACCACGTCTTCCGTGGAAGTACAGACAGAAT